TGTTTGCTTGGTCTCGAGTGGCCGCCGCCTCGCCTCGCCTCCTCTCACTATTGGGAAACCTGATGATGCTAGACTTAACTTCATCTTTGCTTCACCATTATTTTTGCTTCTTTATCCTTGCTTCATCATCACATGTTTTATTATCATATCTGCTTCACCATTACCACGACTTCATCACTACCACCCTGACCTCACCATCACCGCCCTGACCTCACCATCACCACCCTGACCTCACCATCACCACCCTGACCTCACCATCACCACCCTGACCACCATCACCACCCCTGACCATTCCTGACCCGCTACTCATCACCACCCTGACCTCACCATCACCGCCCTGACCTCACCATCACCGCCCTGACCTCACCATCACCACCCTGACCTCACCATCACCGCCCTGACCTCACACAGTTTATTGTACTGTTTCTCTACCCACGTCATTCTATCCCCTCCACTTTATTATATCTTCCACCTGTTGCTCTTCACATCTTTATTCCCTCTCCCTGTTATTGTTCTCTCTCCTGTTACCCACAAAAAACTATCTGTACTTGGGGGGGGTGATCGATGAATTCCAGAATGAACACTGTGACTCCTGTTGTCTCGGTAGGGTTGTATCAAAATCCTGCGTCCCTTGTGTCATAATTTTTCGATACCATTTTATATAGATATTTTGTTTTGGTAAGTATAGCCACCTGTGATGTAATATCTGGCTCCCTGGGTGTGTTATGAGGTGGGCTGCAGTGTTACCTGTAATAACGTCACGTGTGGTGTGTGTTGCGAGGCGGGCAAGTTACCTGTAATAACGTCACGTGTGGTGTGTTTACGTTTTTCCACCAATGGGAGGGAGGGAGGAGGTCGCTTATATCTCGTTTTTTTACCTCCAATAGGATGAATGTTTCGTTATATTGATATTTTATATTTTTATTCATTATATTCTTATTCATTGTACGGATGTTTTAAATTGTCCTTAACGAGGTTGTTATTTCTGGTTTATTTTCTGTATTTGTGTTATGTAAATTGTATGTTTTTTTCATGTCTCTTTTGTTTTTCTCTTTAACGTAGTGACCGTAATAGACTGGTAATACGGAAAGACGTATTTTATACACGCTCTGTATCCTGTTCTTGTAATTAATGTGTATGTTGTATATTGTTTTTAATTACCTTGTAAGTTTAGTACATCCTTCTGCCTGTAACCCACCACTTACCTTCCTCACCACCACTTACCTTCCTCACCACCACTTACCTTCCTCACCACCACTTACCTTCCTCACCACCACTTACCTTCACAACTCCTACATTCTATAGTGCCATCTACCTCCGACAGTTGCCCACACTTGGAAATCAGCTGTCTCTCTCCCCCACCCCTCCATAGTAATTCATCAGGGGTTGGAGTGTTTAGTGTTGTGTAGGGCAGGATGTTTTGGGTGTTGTGGCAGGGCCAGATGTTTGAAGTGTTGTGTGGGGCAGGATGTAAGGTGTTGTGTAGGGCAGGATGTTTGGGTGTTAATGTGTAGGGCAGGATGTTTGGGTGTAGTGTAGGGCAGGATGTTTGGAGGTGTGGGGCAGGATGTTTGAGTGTTGTGTAGGGCAGGATGTTTGGGGTGTGTAGGGCAGGATGTTTGGGTGTTGTGTGGGGCAGGAGGAGTGTTTGTGTAGGGGCAGGATGTTTGGAGTGTTGTGCAGGGCAGGATGTTGGGGGTGCTGTGTAGGGGCAGTGATGTTTGGGTGTTGTGTGTAGGGCAGGATGTTTTGGGTGTTGTGTAGGGCAGGATGTTTGGGTGTTGTGTAGGGCAGGATGTTTGGGTTGTGTAGGGGCAGGATGTTTGGGGGTGTAGTGTGTAGGGCAGGATGTTTGGGTAAGGGCAGGGGATGTTTGGGTGTTGTGTAGGGCAGGATGTTTGAGGTGTTGTGTGGGGCAGGATGTGTTTGGTGTTGTGTAGGGCAGATGTTTGGGTGTAGTGTAGGGCAGATGTTTGGGTGTGGGTGTAGGGCAGGATGTTTGGGGTGTGTGTAGGATGTTTGGGTGTAGTGTGGGCAGGATGTTTGGGTGTTGTGTAGGCAGGATGTTTGGGTGTTGTGTAGGGCAGGATGTTTGGGTGTAGTGTAGGGCAGGATGTTTGGGTGTAGTGTAGGGCAGGATGTTTGAGTGTTGTGTAGGGCAGGATGCTAAAAGTGTTGTGTGGGGGGATGTTTGGGTGTGTGTGGGGCAGGATGTTTTGAGTGTAGGGTGATGTTTGGGTGTTGTGTAGGGCAGGATGTTTGAGTGTTGTGTGGGGCAGGATGTTTGGGTGTAGTGTAGGCAGGATGTTTGTGGTGAAGGCAGGATGTTTGGGTGTAGTGTAGGGCAGGATGTTTGGGTGTAGTGTAGGGCAGGATGTTTGGGTGTAGTGTAGGGGCAGGATGGTGTAGCAGGATGTTTGGGTGTGTGTAGGGGATGCTTGGGTGTAGTGTAGGGCAGGATGTTTGGGTGTAGTGTAGGGGCAGGATGTTTGGGTGTTGTGTAGGGCAGGATGTTTGAGTGTTGTGTAGGGCAGGATGTTTGAGTGTTGTGTAGGCAGGATGTTTGGGTGTTGTGTAGGGCAGGATGTTTGGGTGTAGTGTAGGGCAGGATGTTTGAGTGTTGTAGGGCGATGTTTGGGTGTTGTGTAGGCAGGATGTTTGAGTGTTGTGTGGAGGATGTTTGGGTGTTGTGTAGGGCAGGATGTTTGGGTGTGTGTAGGGATGTTTGAGTGTAGTGTAGGGCAGATGTTTGGGTGTAGTGTGGGGAGGATGTTTGTGTGCAGATGTTTGGGAGTGTTGTGTAGGGGCAGATGTTGGGTGTGTGTAGGGCAGGATGTTTGGGTGTAGTGTAGGGCAGAGTTTGGGGTGTGGCTGTTTGGGTGTAGTGTAGGGCAGGATGTTTGGGTGTTGTGTAGGGCAGGATGTTTGGGTGTTGTGTAGGGCAGGCGGATGTTTGGGTGTTGTAGGGCAGGATGTTTGGGTGTTGTGTAGGGCAGGATGTTTGGGTGTGGGGTTTTGGGTGGTGAGGAGGTGTTTGGGTGTGTAGGGCAGGATGTTTGGGTGTGTGTGCAGGATGTTTGGGTGTTGTGTAGCAGGATGTTTGGGTGTGTGTGGAGGATGTTTGGGTGTTGTGTAGGGCAGGATGTTTGGGTGTAGTGTAGGGGATGTTTGGGTGTTGTGTAGGGCAGGATGTTTGGGTGTAGTGTAGGGCAGGATGTTTGGGTGTTGTGTAGGGCAGGATGTTTGGGTGTTGTAGGGCAGGATGTTTGGGTGTTGTGTAGGGCAGGATGTTTGGGTGTTGTGTAGGGCAGGATGTTTGAGTGTAGTGGGGCAGGATGTTTGGGTGTTGTGTGGAGGCAGGATGTTTGGGTGTTGTGTAGGGAGCAGGTGTTGGGTGTTGTGTAGGGCAGGATGTTTGGGTGTAGAGGGGATGTTTGGGTGTTGTAGGGCAGGATGTTTGGGTGTTGTGTAGGGGGATGTTGGGTGTTGTGTGAGGCAGGATGTTTGGGTGTTGTGTAGGGCAGGATGTTTGGGTGTTGTGTAGGGCAGGATGTTTGGGTGTTGTGTGTAGGGGCAGGAGTGTGTGTGGATGTTTGGGTGTTGTGTAGGGCAGGATGTTTGGGTGTTGTGTAGGCAGGATGTTTGGGTGTTGTGTAGGGCAGGATGTGGGTGTTGTGTGGGGCAGGATGTTTGGGTGGTGGAGGATGTGGGTGTTGTGTAGGGCAGGATGTTTGGGTGTTGTGTAGGGCAGGATGTTTGGGGTGTTAGTAGGCAGGATGTTTGGGTGTTGTGTAGGGCAGGATGTTTGGGTGTGTAGGCAGGATGTTTGGGTGTTGTGTAGGTGTTGGTGTAGGGCAGGATGTTGGGTGTTGTGTAGGGCAGGATGTTTGTGTTGTGTAGGGCAGGATGTTTGGGTGTGTAGGGCAGGATGTTTGGGTGTTGTGTAGGGCAGGATGTTTGGGTGTTGTAGGGCAGGATGTTTGGGTGTAGGGAGGATGTTTGGGTGTTGTAGGGGCAGGATGTTTGGGTGTTGTGTAGGAGGATGTGTTGTGTAGGGCAGGATGTGGTGTTGTGTAGGGGCAGATGTTTGGGTGTGTGTGGGGGGCAGGATGTTGGGTGTAGTGTAGGGCAGGATGTTTGGGTGTAGTGTAGGGCAGGATGTTTGGGTGTAGTGTAGGGCAGGATGTTTGGGTGTAGTGTAGGGCAGGATGTTTGAGGGTGTAGTGTGGGGCAGGATGTTTTGGGTGTTGTGTAGGCAGGATGTTTGGGTGTTGTGTAGGGCAGGATGTTTGGGTGTAGTGTGGGGCAGGATGTTTGGGTGTTGTGTAGGGCAGGATGTTTGGGTGTAGTGTAGGGCAGGATGTTTTGGGTGTTGTGTGGGGCAGGATGTTTGGGTGTAGTGTGGGGCAGGATGTTTGGGTGTTGTGTAGGGCAGGATGTTTGGGTGTTGTGTAGGGCAGGATGTTTGGGTGTTGTGTAGGGCAGGATGTTTGAGGTGTAGTGTAGGGCAGGATGTTTGAGTGTTGTGTGGGGCAGGGTGTTTGGGTGTTGTGTAGGGCAGGATGTTTGGGTGTAGTGGCAGGATGTTTGGGTGTAGTGTGGGGCAGGACGTTTGGGTGTTGTGTAGGGCAGGACGTTTGGTGTTGTAGGGCAGGATGTTTGGGTGTAGTGTGGGCAGGATGTTTGGGTGTTGTGTGGGGCAGGATGTTTGAGTGTAGTGTGGGGCAGGATGTTTGGGTGTTGTGTAGGGCAGGATGTTTGAGTGGTGTAGGGCAGGATGTTTGGGTGTTGTGTGAGGGCAGGATGTTTGGGGTGTGTAGGGCAGGATGTTTGGGTGTAGTGTAGGGCAGGATGTTTGAGTGTAGTGTAGGGCAGGATGTTTGGGTGTTGTGTAGGGCAGGATGTTTGGGTGTAGTGTAGGGCAGGATGTAGTGTTGGTGTTAGGGCAGGATTGTGTTGCCTACATTATAGATGATGACGTGCTCCCCCCTCCTCCCTAGCGTTCATGTATCAGCCAAGGTAGTGAGGTCCCCTGCACCAACCCCACCCACCACCACTACCACCCCCTGTGCGCTCCTCTCACCTCGTGGGCGTCAGGAAGCGTGATGGCCACAGGCGGCCGCCTGCGGTGCGGTGGGCGTGACTCAGCCGCTGTGCTCCCCTGCCTCTCAGGTAACCCTTCGCTCATCTTATTTCTTCTCTTTGCTCTGGTTTAGCGGCTACACAGTAGACACATGAGGGTCACCACCGTCCCCGCCATTGTTTGTTGACACGCAGGCCCCGCCCCAGTATAGTATAAGGAGAGTGTCGAGGCTTGAGGTAGACGCCATAGACTATATTAAGCACCGTCATACCTGGCTGTGACGCCAACAATTCACCTTTGAGCTCTTTTATGATCATCATAATATTTTTAATGGTGTTCTTGCAAGACGTTATTGAACCCACTTTTCCAGTGCATGGGACTACTATAGTCCTTTATGAAACTGCCCCTATTGTTCGTTGTGTGTTACTACCTTATTAGTGTCGAGGAAACAGACTTAGCATTGTTTAAAGATTGTTTTATTATTATTGCTTATACCTGTGTCAGCTGTGCACCTTCATAGATGTTGCTTGACCCCGCACGTGTAACACAATAGGCTGATGATAAATGCACCCACCGTGGAGGGCCCTGCACCCAAGCCTGTTTAGCAGATACACAACCATGTTAAGTTCACACGTGTTAACACATCAAGGCCACCAACCACCTATGTACCAGACAAGGTAGAATAGCACTGACAGGTATACTGACACACACACACACACACCACACACACACACACACACACACACACACACACACACACACACACACACACACACACACACCCCACACACACACACCACACACACACACACACACACACACACACACACACACACACACACCACACACACACACACACAACACACACACACACACACACACACACACACACACACACACACACACACACACACACACACACACACACACACACACACACACACACACACACACACACACACACACACACACACACACACACACACACACACACACACACACACACACACACACACACACACACACACACACACACACACACACACACACACACACACACACACACACACACACACACACACACACACACACACACACACACACACACACACACACACACATTGCCCATCATCTGTGCCTGAGCAGCATGTGTTAAGTGATAAATGATTGTTATTAGTCGTCCTTAATGTAATAGCTCCTAAGGTTTATTTTACCTATATGCTGAATGTTTTATCACTATGGTTAGGTTAGGTTTTGGTTAGGTTGAGTTTAGTTAGGTTAGGTTAGGTTGGGTTAGGTTAGGTTTGGTCAGGTTAGGTTAGGTTAGGTTTGGTCAGGTTAGGTTAGGTTTGGTCAGGTTAGGTTAGATTTGGTTAGGTTAGGTTTGGTTGGGTTAGGTTTGGTCAGGTTGGTTTGGTGAGGTTGGGTTAGGTGAAATTGGGGTTTGGGTTAGGTAATATAAAAATAATCACCATTTGACTGAGGAGAATATGACCCATTGAAGTGAGGGAAGTCTCTTGAGGTGAGGGAGAGTCTCTTGAAGTGAGGGAGAGTCTCTTGAAGTGAGAGAGTCTCTTGAAGTGAGGAGAGTCTCTTGAAGTGAGAGAGTCTCTTGAAGTGAGGGAGGTCTCTTGAGGTGAGAGAGTCTCTTGAAGTGAGGAGAGTCTCTTGAGGTGAGGTGGGAGTCTCTTGAAGTGAGGAGAGTCTCTTGAGGTGAGGAGAGTCTCTTGGAAGTGAGGAGGAGTCTCTTGAAGTGAGGAGAGTCTCTTGAGGGTGAGGAGAGTCTCTTGAGGTGGTAGAGTCTCTTTGGTACTCAGATGTGAGACAAATTTCTTACTAGTAAACAGAGACGAACTTCTTGTATGTCTCACCAGGTAGGAGAAATATTGACAGGTTGAGACATAAATGAAGGATCTGTCTCAACAGGTAGGAGAATATTAGACAGGTGAGACATAAATGAGGATCTGTCTCACCAGGTAGGAGAAATATTAGACAGGTGAGACATAAATGAGAGGATCTGTCTCACAGGTAGGAGAAATATTAGACAGGAATGAGACATAAATGAGAAGGATCTGTCTCACCAGGTAGGAGAAATATTAGACAGGTGAGACATAAATGAAGGATCTGTCTCACAGGTAGGGAGAAATATTAGACAGGTGAGACATAAATGAGAAGGATCTGTCTCACCAGGTAGGGGAAATAGACAGGTGAGACATAAATAGAAGGATCTGTCACCAGGTAGGAGAAATATTAGACAGGTGAGACATAAATGGGGTCATGGTGGGAAAATATTAGACAGGTGAGACATAAATGAGAGGATCTGTCTCACCAGGTTGGAGAAATATTAGACAGGTGAGACATAATGAGAAGGATCTGTCTCACCAGGTGGAAAATATTAGACAGGTGAGACATAAATGAGAAGGATCTGTCTCACCAGGTAGGGGAAATATTAGACAGGTGAGACATAAATGAAGGATCTGTCTCACCAGGTAGGAGAAATATTAGACAGGTGAGACATAAATGAGAAGGATCTGTCTCTGCAGGTAGGGAGAACATATTAGACAGGTGAGACATAATGAGAAGGATCTGTCTCCCAGGTAGGGAAATAGACAGGTGAGACTATAAATGAAAGGATCTGTCTCACCAGGTAGGGGAAATATTAGACAGGTGAGACATAAATGAGAAGGATCTGTCTCACCAGGTAGGAACATATTAGACAGGTGAGACATACATGAAAGGATCTGTCTCACCAGGTAGGAGAAATATTAGACAGGTGAGACATAAATGAGAGGATCTGTCTCAACAGGTAGGAGACATATTAGACAGGTGAGACATAAATGAGAAGGATCTGTCTCACCAGGTAGGAGACATATTAGACAGGTGAGACATAAATGAGAAGGATCTGTCTCACCAGGTAGGAAATATTAGACAGGTGAGACATAAATGAGAGATCTGTCTCACCAGGTGAGAATATTAGACAGGTGAGACATAAATGAGGAGGATCTGTCTCACCAGGTAGAGACATATTAGACAGGTGAGACATAAATGAGAAGGATCTGTCTCACCAGGTAGGGAAATATTAGACAGGTGAGACATAAATGAGAAGGATCTGTCTCACCAGGTAGGGGAAATATTAGACAGGTGAGACATAAATGAGAAGGATCTGTCTCACTATCCTCTCTCAGTCTTGGTTCTGTCTCAGTGAAGGAAGTGAATAAAGATGATATTGTACAAGACATAATGTTTAAATCGACATAACTTTGCATAATCAACTTTGCATAATCAACATAATTTTGCATAATCAACTTTGCATAATCAACTGTAATCAACTTTGCATAATCAACATAGCTTTACATAAACAACTTTGCATAATCAACATAACTTTGCATAATCAACTTAACTTTGCATAATCAACATAACTTGCATAATCAACATAAGTTAACATAATCAACTTTGCAAAATCAACATAATTTTGCAAAATCAACTTTGCATAATCAACATAACTTTGCATAATCAACAACTGCATAATCAACATAACTTTGCATAATCAACATAACTTAACATAATCAACTTTGCAAAATCAACATAACTTTGCATAATCAACATAACTTTGCATATTCAACATAACTTTGCATATTCAACATAATTTTGCATAATCAACTTTGCATAATCAACATAATTTTGCATATTCAACTTTGTAATCAACTTTATAATCAACTTTGCTCAACAATTTTACAAAATCAACTTTGCATAATCAACATAACTTTGCATAGGTAAATGAATAAAAATATATAGTTTGTTATGTTAGTTATGTTAGTTTGTTATGTTAGTTAAGTTAGTTTATTATGAAGGCTTTAGCACGTTATAGAGGTGAATGGGTCCTTCCCGTGTATTGGATTAAGGTGATTTATGAATGATATAAAGTAACACAGTGTAATGGACTGAATGTATGGATGTATTAACCCTTATGTATGTGTGTGTACGTATTGTTACACACACACACACACACACACACACAGACACACACACGTTATAAATACCAAGACGGATGAGCCTCCACAGCTGTTATTCCTTCAAATAACATTACACCGGCATTACACACGTCCCTTCTTTTGCCCCACCTATCGCTCACCAACCAACCAATAAGAACGCTTTCCTTCCACCTACCGCTCACCACCCGACCAATAAGAACACTCGAATAATAATGCCCAGGAGGTTTTCATGTGAACAGCTGTGAATCCTACAAGACCTTATTTCTCCAATGTTAAAACGCCGTCTCTTATGGTAGCTTTAACACCTTGAGTACCATGACAGTACTCAAGGGGTTAATGCCATAGTACTCAAGGGGTTAATGTCAAGGACTCAGGGGTTAATGTCATAGTACTGAAGGGTTAATGCCATCGTACTCAAGGGGTTAATGCCATCGTACTCAAGGGGTTAATGTCATAGTACTCAAGGGGTTAATGTCATAGTACTCAAGGGTTAATGTCATCGTACTCAAGGGTTAATGTCACCACTCAGGGGTTAATCATCATACTAAAGGGTTAATGTCATGGTACTCAGGGTTAATGTCATCGTACTCAAAGGGTTAATGTCATCGTACTCAAGGGTTAATGTCATCGTACTCAAGGGTTAATGTCATCGTACTCAAGGGTTAATGTCATAGTACTCAAAGGGTTAATGCCATCGTACTCAAGGGGTTAATGCCATTACTCAAGGGGTTAATGCCATCTGGATCTCTCTGTTTCTCTCGTCTCCTCCTCCCTCACGTCTCAGCCTTCTTGACTGGTGAGGGGTGGGAGCAGCCTGGAGTGTTGATGACGGAGTAGCTGAGGTTAGTGTGTGTGTGTGTTTCTCAGATATACACACACACACAGACACACACACACACACACACAGACACACACACACACACAGACACACACACACACACACACAGACACACACACACACACAGACACACACACACAGACACACACACACACACACACAGACACACACACACACACACACACACACACACACACACACACACACACACACACACACACACACAGACACAGCACACACACAGACACAGACACACACA